ATGATTTTTCAAAACATTCCTAATTTTAAGGTTATTTTTGTAAATACCTTTTTTTTAAGGGTATTGGGCCTATACAGAGTTTTAAAATGGGATAATTAGCCCTATTACCCTCCAAAATAACAAATTAGAATAATACCCTAAAACTAATTAAATTTTCTACTCTCATAGTAAACACGCTCAAAACCCACCTTAGACGTAAGTGGAGAAGATGGAAAATCCATCGACGAAGTTGGAGATGAGGAGGTAGCGCCACCCAATGACTGCCCTATCACGGTGTCGACTTTAATCAAAATGTCATGGCAATACTTAACCGGATCCTTTCCCACAAACAAATTGCGCAACCCACACAGACGCAATGGCCAATGGGGACTACAACATGGACAGAGGGTCTGTGCAATTCATCATTTTTTAAATTTAATGTTATTATTATTTCAAAGCTTATTTATTGGGATCTGGGTTTAGCTAGGGGTTTTGTTTTCACTAACTAGAATTTTTGTAGATACGAAAATGAGCCAATTGATCCCAAACCCATTGTAAGAAGATTTATTTCTTTTTATGTTTGCATATTATCACTAATAACATTTTCGTGGTCCACCAGTGATTGATTTTGCCTTTTTTTTTTGTGGCAATTGATGGGAAGGTGTAGAGTTGGAAAAAGAGAACAATGACAATGAGGATGCTCTGGATGACATTGTAGGCGAAGGCGAAGAGAAACAGGAAGAAGAACTCGTTGAATGCCCTCGGAAAACGTCCCAGTATATGTGTGCGAGGATGTTGGGTACGCTGGCATTGCAGATTAGGCGGGGTTCAGTTTTATGTGTTTTTTTTTTTTATTTAAAAATTCTTATTCCAAACTCTACGTATTTGTATTGTAAATTATGAATTTCGAGGGTTTAATTTGATTGGTTTGCCTTCATGAATGCTATCAATGTGTGAAATTGAATAATTTTACAGCTATCTTATCTTAGATTAAACAAATAGATTGAACAATGTTNCTATCTTATCTTAGATTAAACAAATAGATTGAACAATGTTTCTATTTCTAAATTTATATCCAAAGTCTTAACAGAATAGAATAGATACTAATTATTCAACGAGAAAACCATCATGATACTATTTCTATAACTTTTTTAGTGTTTGTCGTTTTTTTTTTATTTCGTCACTTTTTGAGAGTTTCACTTTTTTTATTTTCTCGTCACTTTTTTAAATTTATCAATTTTTTTGAATTTTGTCACTTTTTGAGTGTTTGTCACTTTTTTATTTTCTATCATTTTTTTAATGAGTAACTTTTTTTAAAAATTTTGGATTACTTTTTCGAAATCGTCACTTTTTAAAAAAATTTGTAACTTTTTTTGAATATTTGTCATTTGTTTTAGTATTTATCACTTTTTTGAATTTTTGTCATTTTTTTTAGCGTTTATAATTTTTTTTTTCAATCACCTTCTTGATTTCTATCACTTTTTTTTTAGTGATAAACATCATTTTTTAATAAAAATGACATTTTATGTTATTTTTTAGGGCGTGTTCAGTAGAGATTAAAATTGAAAAACTAGTCGTTATTGTCAACTTTTATTAGACGAGTGAGATCCAATAATGACACCGTGACACAATTTTTATAAAAAAGCGACATTGTGACACTTACGGGGGTGTCCTCAACTAAGATTTTGGTGAATTTTAAACGATTATAAGTCCTAATGAATTTCGTGGATTTGAATAGATTTTCACAAATTTCATAAGAATTTCTTTAAATATGGTGAAATTTCAAAAGATTTGGTTACATGTATTTTTAAGCTTGAAATCCACCCAAATCTTTTAAAATTCATCCATTAATTAAATCTTTATAAATCTACGAGCTATCGAGGATACCTAAATTTTGAAGGATTTCATTAATATTTCAATTTGGGACACTTAAATTTTAATGAATTTTATTAAAATCTCAATTGAAAACACCTAAATTTAGAAGGATTTTAAAAATTCATCACAATTTTAATTAAGGACACCCCCTTTAATTTTATACATAATTTTTTACTTCCAAAAATCTTTTCACATGATTTTTGAAAGGAAACAATACATCATTCCTAATTTTAAAGTTTAAATTTCATAAATAACAAACTTATTAAAATATTTCAAAAATCAGGTGGTAAATAAATTTATTAAAATATAATATAATATACATTAATTATTTACACCCTATGACACCCCATCAATCCCACAACACCACCTTCCCTCCATCTCCGGCACCTGCTTCGGCGACGGCCCGACAACTGTTCCGACGATCACTCCAATGGTCGCTCCGGCAACTGTTTCAGCGATCACTCCTGCGATTTCAAAATTTTCAGAAAATTAAAAATTGGAAATCACACCCCCAACCCATGGATCTACCTACCACACCCCACCCCTGCCTCCACCTCTTAAAAAATTACCGGAAAAAAATTTGTGTTCAGTGTGACTGTATGTGACTAATTGTGACCAAGTGTGTATTCAATGTGATTAACTGCGACCAAATTTGTGTTTTGTGTGATTGTTTGTGACCAGGTCAATCTCAAGTCATAATCGGTCACAATCAACACAAAATCGGTCACAATCGTTCACAATCAAACGACAAAAAAAAAGCAAGCGACATCGTGTTTAATGCCCATCCCAACATCTAGAAATTTTAAACTCGATATCACTACCAACCGAGTCTAACTAAAGAAATAATTCACAAGAGGAAAAAAAACCTTGATAAGATCCAAAAAGGGGGAAAACAGATGAAATTAATAGAAACATCAACATCGAGCTAAGTAACTAGAAATCAAATTTATGTTTGACTCCAAAATGAAGCAGCAGATGAAGTAAACCATACAGGAAAAGTCATTTGGAAACAAAAATATACTTGCACTTTTAAATCAGTGAAAACTATACTTTGGTGTCAGATTTCCCCTAATGTTCAGACCCACTCCTTGCAACCTTCGACACTCACCTCATGCCGGACCTTCATTTACGATTTTTCACCAGCCAACACGCCTTCCTCCACCTTTGCAATGCCTCTTCCGACGAATTCTTCTCATCTGGTATTGTCCTATGCAGACACATTGCATAAAAAAGACAAAACTTCGTAGACATCTTCTCATCTGAACCAACAATGGCGATTTCTAGTTCTGTATTCCTTTAAATTATACACTAATTTTACGAAAAAAAATGAACTAAAATTGAAAAAAGTGACCACCCAGGAAAAAGGATGGCTTAATTGGTTGTGAAATGTGAAAATTTGATCAAAGAGATTACTGAATTGTAGATTTGGAGGGCATTGAGCAGCTAAAGTAGGAGCTGATAATTCGAGACAACAACGCATATGCGAAGTATGCCCTGACGCGAGCCAAAGGGAGAAGAAAGCTCGACAATCTCTGGCAGAAGTTGGCCGGCATTGTCTAGATTGTCCATCGTGACACAATCTGCACATTGTAGAAGCATACCCAGAAGTCTAAGCCCAATTGAATCACCTTCTTCAATAACATCAGCCTTTAACTTCTTTTTCTCGTATTCATGTTCCTTTTCACCAGAAACGGAAGGGTCCATAGCTTGGAATCGACGGCGCTTAACCAGAGAAGGCAGAGAGAGCGATAGAGAGAAGTAAACGGTGATTTAGGGATTTTTTGACACGACCCGTCCCGAATCACCCTAATGGACCCGAAACGTGACGTGCGCCGATGGAAGATGCTAACTAGATGCCAAATCCACCATCAAGGCTGACTATGGGTTGCTACAAAATATCACGTATCACATGTTTATGAAAAATATAGTGTAATGAGCCCAAAATAAATATTTTGTGCTCTACCAAAAATGCACCATGTCGTGTGGCTAACTCCGAAGTCATCAGGCTCCCCAAGCTATCAAGAACCAATACTACTTGTAAGAAAAATTGTGGGAACAATATATGAGCTAATAGCTCAGTGAGTGGAGAAGTTCAAAGATAATTATACCTTTCCATTTACACATTTTTTATCGGAAATCAAGTGAAAATCATTTAACAGTTCGCATTATAATAACAGCAATAATCAATACTTGAAACATCTCATAACACTAAACAATATCATCTAAATATCATGATAATTACATCAACTCAAATCCCTATCATCATCTCATCCCATCACATGTAATCAACCAAAAATGTACCCTCTGATTGAAATTGATAATCCACCCCTCGGGCTAA